ACACGATCTGAGAAGAAGCTATGCAAACATTATCTCAAAAGTATATATCGTACCGTATAACGGTGCACACCTATCAACAGTGACAAGCGTTGTTGTTTATTGGCCCACAAAACAGTAAACTTTCGAATTTGCTAGCAGCATGCGTAAACATTCCTTGAATAATCTTTAGCAAAATCCAGGTAAAATATTTTGTGAGTCAGTTTTGGAATGTGGATGATGGATTTGTTCATATGAATTCATGGTTGCTCATCACTTTTCTACAACGGAATTCATCCATTAATTGTCCAGTCGAGTTGAATTTCAGTAGAATGAAACCGCAGACGAAGAGTTTTTATTGACCTAACATGTGAACAGATTTATTTACTAGATCAGTGATTTGTTCATATGAATTCATGAAAAAGAAATGTATCACCGGAGAAAGCATAAATGCTCGTCACTGATTGATTGTTATGTGTGTGCTTTACACGAATACGAAAATTAAATCATTCAAGAAATAGAAACTTAATCGAAAAATATGGATCAGTTTTTTCAGGAATGCTAGACTAAGAAATATGGCCGGTGGGAACAAACTGAAACAATGAATGAAAGTATTGCACTGGCACAACACTTGTACACATACACATATTATCATGCAACACTTATTGCACGTACAAAATTCTGTAAATATGAAACAGTTTTTACGCACAAATTCAGAGTGATGAGAACGAATGGAAAAATAAATTGCAAAAAAAATGTCAAAATGATCATCGTACAGCAGCAACCAGTATTAATAATGATGAAATCTATCAGAAATTATGCAATTTACAAATGGATTATAATCAGTGTTCAATGAAATTGAAAACTATCGAAATGGAACGGAATACGCTCAAGTTAGGAAATCTTTTATTTCTGTTTCTAGTGCGTGATTAACTAGTTGATTTAATAATTGATTTTAGTTTTTAATCCGTTTGCTGTATATCGATTAGAATTCTGTCTCTTAAACAATCACATGTTCAGGGAAAGTCAGAAATGTTACCGGAAGATGAAGGCATTTTTAAAATGAATCATAAAGAATGACCTTTGAATGAGTTCTTTTTGTTGAATTCAAGAGTAGTCATCAGATGATTATGGGAGAAATCATAACATCGTTCAATCGTTTTGCATCTGCACACTATGTTCACCGTTGATGAATCTCAAAGCTGTTTTGTCCATTATTTTAGGAATTTTGATTCAGTTGAATAAAATGCCCCTGAAAATGAATACACTTTTGTCTCAGAAATGAAATCGAAGAAATACGCAATCGGAACGTTAATGCATCAAGAAAGATCGCCGAATTACAAGAGGAAATACGAAAACTAACAACAGATAAAGCATGTGCACAAGATCGACTGAACGCGCTCGAAAAGGTCATTCATTATTGAATTGGCTGATTGATTTGTTGATTCATTTATCAATCTGTCCATGTTTAGTTCGAGACAGACCATCGTACACTACAAGGTGGGATGAGACGTGAGTTGGAATTGTTAATGGCTGATAAAGTTCGTTTAACGAATGAGGTTGACGATTTGAAAAGACGTTTGTTGAGAACTGAAACGGAGCGACGTGAATTGGATGCGAATCGTGCACGTCTTGAGCGAGAACGCTGTGCACTGAAAAGTCATATTGAAACAGTTCGTTGATTATGAATGAATGATGAATGATCATGTCATACACTTTTGCTATTCTTGAAAGTTTTCATGCTCTGATTCACGAATTTTTTGTTACTTTTTCGAATGCTTCCAATGTTGCAAATGCAAAAAAGCGTTACTTGAAGAGTTAGCATTGCGAAAATATGAAGAGAACGTAGCACAATATCGATCATTTCTTCGTTGTTATCTACTATTTATTGAGTATTGTTTATTTTTTGTGATACTCACTTATCACTATTACAGTTAGAAATGGATAAGCAGAAATGTGATGCAACGATTCGACAGACTGCAATTGAACGACAAGCAATGGATAAATCATTGAGTGCGATGGAAAACGAGAATATGGAGCTGTATAGGAATTGCTCACAATTACAGAATCAGGCTTCAGTTTCATTCGATTTCATTTCAATGCGATTTTGTATGCATACGTTGATCTGTTACACCCATTTAAAATCTTTTCAACGTTTTCTTTTACTTCAGCTATCACAACTGGAAAAGGAAAACGGCGGTCGAGCACTCGTTGAAATCAGTACACAAAAACGCCTATTGGAAGGTCAATTGCAGCATTTAACACACGAAAAACGTGAGGTAAATATGACTTATCTGTTAATAAGAATATTTTAGAAATATTCCGTCTGCCAAACAATGTTTTCCAATGCTACCTTTTTGATTATAGGCTGTTTCAAAATGTTCGTCATTGTTGCGTTTTTACTATTTTATTTGTTCTAATTTATCAGTTTGCATATTGGAAAATTTTATGGTTTGTTTTTTTTTCTCAAATTTTCTTCTTTTAATGCATTTATTTTTTTAAAGTTGGAACAGATTTATGAGGAGCGTGAGAAGGGATATATGCAGAAGATGAGAATGTTCGAATCGAAAATCGCGATACTGCATGAACAGTTAGAAGATGAACGTAAACGAAGGCGTGATTTCGTCGAGCGTGCAGTGGCGAATGAACGTGACATCGGTGAGTTGCGATTGGGATTGGATGAGTCAATCGCTTCATTACAACGTCTCACAATACACCAAACGCCGTTGAAGCGAAAACGATCTTCATCTGTTGCGATCGTACGCACTACTAGTAATAATAATCGAAATGTTAGCAGTCATAATTCAAGGCAATTTCAACAATCATATCATTGTACTACATCCAAATGAACAACGTATTTGATGCCAACTAAACTGACTTCGACCGTGAAACGGCGAACATCTGCTGATCACAAGAATTGTTCGCTTCGAATCATCGATATTCCATTTCACGATCGCATATTCCGATTCTCGGCAGATTCATCAACGCTATTGTTGACATCGGATACCAACCTGAAATATACAGCATCCAAGAGCACAGTGAAGTTTCATCCTGGACTGGATTTTATTCGACAAACAATCCATAATTGATCAGTCACGACGATTATTTTGAAAGTAATAATAATAATGTAGTAATAATAATAATATCAATAACAATTATTTGTAATATTAATGAAAGATTCAGTTGAAATGCAATCCCCAGTCTACCAAATCATATTTTTTAACTTCCTCGACTGCAAAATTTCTTCATAACTGGTCTCAAGTTAATTATCACGTTTCATTTCTTTTACTCTGAAGCACTATTTCTATGCATGTTCAAGGGGCGTTAAGTCATTTTCATGAAACGTTCATGTTGCCATTGTTTTTAATGCGGCGCTCAATATCGATTTCATATGTTTTCGTTGTATTGTTTCTCGATCAGTGTACCAGCAACGGTACCACTTGTTGGTAGTAATGAGGATCGCAGTGATATTGATATAGTTTCTTAAAAGTAGAATAATGACAGCGTTAGTTCTATTTCACTTTTTCAAAGGTGACACAATAATGAATACATTCAAATACAAAACGATTAGTGCATTCGGTGTATTTGCTCGTCATTTTCCTTAACCCGAGGTATTTTTTACAATTAGAACATTTACGATTAGTGCAGTCGTACATTTGATGTCTGATAAATATCAGTTAATCAGTGCAGTTAATCGTGCTGTGATGTAGTCCATTATATCAAGTCGCTACACACAAAACTACTTCAGTTAATTTTTTTAGTTGAGTACGAAAAGGCTCATTTCTGAATGTTCTCGAAAGTGAAGTTCCACTTGTGAATGGAATATGGGGTGCTTTCAAAATTTATAATCTCCTTCACCTACCCACTATTGGGTCTCAGCCTCATACTTTCCGAACTCTCAGCTACACCCTGTATATTGTCATTATAGCGATTACTATTATTACTGTCATTATCGCCACATTGTTCCATGTTGATTATTATTACTGCGATTATTGCTACTAATCATCCGGTTCTTTTATATGACCTTTTTTCATGATAGATCGCATCTATATAAAGAATGTTGTGGAAATTCGCTTGTTTTCGTTGTTCCATCGTTCGTTAACTCGCTTCATTTAACTTACGTTATTTTCCGTTTCGGAAAAATTATCATCGTGTTCTTTTGAGATGATTTTTCAATGAATATTTCGATTTCTTGTTCCATAAAGAGAAAACTTCCGAAGAGAATTGAGAATTTAATTGTGCATTAGTGATGGTATTAATGATCAGTGATGTTATTGTCATTTTCATTACCAAAGCCAGCCGAACGTCTGGCCGAACAAATTCATGTATTTGTGTAATTCGATTGAAAATGGTACATCTACTTCATCAGATGGATTTGCGTTCAGTTTGTTATTGTGCAGTGAGAATTGGCATTCTTTATCATTGTTGTTACTTTTGTTGCCATTTTTGTTGTTGTGCTCTTATTATTTTTAATATTCGGTATTCATATTTTGCAATCCTCATTTTTATTAAAATGAAAACTCAGTGATTGAATTTTATTTTTGAGAGCTCTTTGAATGATCACTGAATAATTATTAATTGGAAATTTTGCAAATATATTTCTAAGAGGTTGATTCATTTTGGTTTTTTTCCTTGAGATTCCATCAAAAAATTCACTTTTCTTCTTGCTGATAGCGTTTTTTCGAGAAATTTATTCAATGCAAACGGAATGAAAAAGATCGTTCATCAGTTCGCGCTTACCTTAGTTCGAATGCATTTTATCTATCGCTTTTCGTTCATTTGAACTGTAATTGAGTCGATGATTGTTTCTGATTCATTGTTATTTTCATTGTCCGTAAAACTAACCGCTATCAAATTCTAGTAATTGCGAATAACTGTAGTGAGCGTATTTGAGTGTCATATGCTTCGCGGTGTTTCATGTAACGAAATTCGATTATTTTTCCGTTTTATTGTTCCCTTATTTTCAGAATTCGTTTTCGTCTTTCAGCCAGTGACACTGTCTATAGATAAACAAACGACGATTTTTTAAAAATTGTATTTTATTGGATTTTATGATAATAAATTTTTTGACCTCGCAATGCATTTGCAATAAACGTTACGTTGAATGAAATACGTTTGATTTTTGGCCGACATGAGCGTAAGTGTATAGTTGCGCATTTGCGTTGAAAATATTGGTTGCACACTCATTTAAGCTAGTGAATCAGCCAGAAATTGCACTTCTAAAGAGTTATTGCTATTTGAAAGGTTGCAGAAACTTTCTTCCAAAGTTTTCAATAAGAAGGCCATTGTTCTTCTGAAGTGCGAATTTCTTCACATCTTCGGATATCAGAAAAAATCTTATTTTCTGAAAGCACTGCATTCGTTGAAGCAGTTTGGCACCATGAATGAGAAATGAGTTGATTGTTCAGTTTGGCATTATAAGTGAGAAGTGGGTTGATTCGAACGAATAAGACGAACTGTGGTGAGTATAGACTCTGAATTTGTTCATCTTAACCACTTCAACTTGAGATTGATGCTGACGATCGTCTATGAAGTTTTCATCATTAGCCTACGAATAAGCAATGATTGGAAGACTCTATGCATAATGCGCCATAAATAAAGCAGCTTGCCATTCATTTTATAGGAATGAACGAATGAACAATTTCGAATTGCTCACAACTTGTGCATAAGATCGTTGAATGGAGTTAATCATGCACAATAGATGTATGATATTTTATAATATGGAAGACACATGTTTAAGTTGCATCCGTTTTTCTAAGATAATATAACATATTTAACAATTCTATCGTTTGAATTGGTTTGTTGTGGGGGAAGAAAACAACTCGGGAATGAAATTTACGGTCGGGGACCCTGAAAATGCATTCGCCTTGAGAGGAGTCAAGAACAGGGAACGGAGAACTGCGGGAAAAAAACTCCATCCTACTCTCGTGATCCGAAAATATAACATTCGAACTGGCGTCTGTAAAAGCTTGAAAACAAAAAGTGTGTTGGAAAAGTATCGAAATGAAGCAATCTGAATGATAGGACAGAGATAGCCGCGAAGCCACAATTCGGTTTCAACGATAATATTTCATTGAACCACACAAAAAACAACCAATGCATAGTCTTAACCGAGAAAAAATGAACAACATTCTGTAATGAAAATGGCTTAAATTTCTTCTTCTTCAGATTGTAGAAATCGTCTGTATTTACTTACCACTAAACATTACAATTCACAGAAATATCACTATCACTGTGATGAGAAAGGCCATTTTCTTCTCATGATACTGAGATGACCAGAAACATTTCGTTCCTATGGCAATAAAGGTCGTCAATTTTTGATCTATCATTACGCATTATTTTGATTTTCTTCTTCGACACTTCCACCTCGTTAGCATCAAGGGATTGAGAAGGCCGTCAGGTGATAATTGTTTTATAGTGAGCTTCTTTTCACTCACCCTTTTCCACTTTCTCTCCCAAAACAAAATATTGCCGACCACACTCCCGCTAACCAAACCATCTCCTTTTTCGCCCTGTCGAGCCATTGCAGAGCAGACATGTTCCCAGCCGCTGAATACAACAACACAAAACTATCATTTAACACAATCACGGCATTCAAAAGAGTTGGCCATAACACTTTACACAATTCGCTAATGAGGCCACATGAAACATGCTGACAGTGCTGATGAATTCGCTTGAATTCACGTTTTTGACGCTTCGATCCGACTTTATCAACTTTTGGGGAAACTTCGAGGAACTGCGACAGTTTCGATAAAGTCGGAAACTTCGAAAGTGCGGTTACCATGAAAAATGTCGGGGACGGGTGTTCGAAATTCCCGTACAATGTATCTACTTTGAAAAATGCAAAAATTCTATTAGAAGCAAAAAATCACATCTTCTCTCCATCTAGCTGTCCTTATCGATAATAATTTTTGATCAGCTCCTTCTCTATCATCATGGATTTTTACGTTTTTACAGAAGCTGATATCGAAATCATTTTATAACTGCTCAACGGTTAGTTGATTTTATGATCTTTTGTTTCTCGTTTTCAATTACTTTTTATCATTTGAGAGTGGTTATTTACAGTGATACATTGTACAATGTCTATTGGTATGTAGAAGAGAGCAGTGACAATGAGATGATGTATCGTGAATATCGCATGAGATTGAGCTCATCATTTCGTGAACTTTGTGATCTGAATACACTGTGCAATAAAACTTTATTTTTGTGTCAACATAATGCACAACATCAAATGACAGTTGAAGTTATTTTTAATAAATTTATTGCTGTTTCAATGATATTTGAAACCCTAGTGAATTCCAACACACGGCAAAAGTTCGCACCCTGAAAAAACGTGGGATCGATTTAAAACTAACATTTTAACGCCGAGTTCATGAAATAGTAGAAAATTTCTCAGTTTGTAATTTGAAAGAACATATTTCGAATTTCATGTTTTGTCCATTCAAGACGCAGCCAGTCCTGCTTCCCAAAGACTCTCTTGTATTAACGCTGTTTGTACCTACTTATACAGACATGTGAATAATTCAATGTACACAGCATAAATTATCAAATATTCGGTGAAACATATTGGCAAATTTGGTGGCGTCACATATAATTATGAAGGAAATTATAGGTAAAAATGTGTGCAGATGATCACATATCGCCAAGTGTAGTGTAGTATAATTTGATAATTGTTCACATCAGACCATTGTTCACTTCAATATTTACCAAAGAAGAAAAGTGCAACACTGCAATCATTATATGAGCGATAACGAGAATAAACCATATGAATCGTTTTTACATGCACTAGATATTCTGTATAGACAGAGTCTAACGGAGCTGAACAGCAGTAAAGGACAGCCTGTAATATTGTGTTTTGATTTCTGAAGGCGCTTATTTTGAGACGTTTATTATCATTATGAGTGGTTTGGTTTCTGATTTTATTGCATTCTTGGGAAGGCATCGAAAATCGTAAATAGACAAGCAAGTATTGGTAATAAAGTTGATAAGGATTCGATATCAATAGTGAACTTGTTGAATGCTAATTGCACATATTAAACGTGAACTGTGCAGTATTGCTTCATTGTAGTCCAGTGTAAGAGTGGTATTGACAAGTGAGGTATTTGTTGGTCGATTCATCGTAACTTATCCAGTTTGATAGCTTCATCGAGATAATTCCTCTTCGAGGATGGCATCCAAAACCACCTACATCTTTGCTGCTATTGCTGCTCTTATCGTGGCTTTACTGATCGTTTGCATTGGACTCCTTAGTGCAATCTTCGTTAATCGTAAGTATTCATTAATTCATTCATTTCACTTGTTACCGCATCGTTACTCAGTGTTCGAAGTGCTCATCTGTAAACTAGCTGCAAAAGAGGAGGTATAATGCGAAGCATGTGAAAACTTATATTCGCATTATAACACGTTTAAATGATAGCAAATCACCCTTCTTTCAGCCATGTGCACGCAGCACATTGAATCCCGTTAATTTTCCAACACGTTCATGAACTTTTAATCAGAACTATTTTTGAAACAGCTTACAGTCAGCAACTATCGACCCGCACTGCTTTGCTTACGCCATTATTGTGAATGATAATTGATATGGAACCACTAACTGCTAATAGAATGAAATCCAAAATGCAAAATAACAACGCCAATATACAAAATTATACCTAACATAAATGCTGATACCTAACATAAATAGATGTGAGAAGCAAGAGAGAAAAACGAAATCCTCAACAAGATGAACGTTGGAGGTGATTGGTAGTTTATATTCCAGTCATTCAGAAAAGATAAAAGGCAATTTTATCTCGGAAATTCTACCTGAATAAATAGTTCCGGTCGGTGATTTCTCTGTTCCACTTAAACTGTTATGTTTCTGTTCAGTTATGCTGGAATAGAACAGAACAGGTTTAGAATTTGGAATACGGGAACAGAACAGAATTCCGGAATTTGAGAATAGGACAGAACAGAACTCCTTTGTTGTGTCGTTGAGAATAACGAAGAAGAAGACGACGAGACGACGAAACTATACTTTACTCGGGATCAAGACAAGACGCATCAAGACACTCAAATCTCGCCCTTAAATAGAGTTTTTGCATGTAAATTTCTAACAATAAGAAGATAACTCATATACAAATCAGCAGATCACATATGCTAATTTGATCACATATTCGATCATTACACAACATCCTTAAAAATGAGAGTGTGGAATATGGAACAAAAGACTAGAAGGTGAAAATAGAAAAAAAAGTTTTGCCAAAAAGCACTGTTTCTGTTCAAGAACGACCAAAGATGAGGTGAACATATGCTCAGTAATCGCATCGAATTCGAGTGTGGCTCATGTCAACTGAATGGAGTTGTACGCGCCAACTCACTATGCGAACTTGCTTCCAAAGCATTTCAAAGGGCACTTGTTTAGTTGTTGAATGCTGAAATGACAAGTGATCAGTGCACATCTAGATATGAACTGTATTGTGATACTGAATAGAAACCTGCTCGCATGAACTCCATCAATCCTATTACCGTCATGCATTTTTCATTGGTATAAAAATGGCAATTGGCATTTACATCAAAACTTAAACAATATATGAGAATTTAGAGCAAAAGCAGCCTCCAGTCCCTAATGCAAATGTAATCAAAAATGTTGTCGTTTTGGCTGATGCCTCATCGGGAGTTGACGAAATGATCCTCACTAATGTTTGTGTTTTCATTTTCTTCATTCATTTTCATGTTTTCAGGATTGGCAATATTTTTCAATGCATTTTTTGTTTATTCTTTCCTTCACCCCTCATGTTTCGTATAGAACATTTCAAAAACGACAAGTCCATCACACAAAGTAATGCTCATTAAAATGTTTGAATATATGTGCAAAACTCAGTCTATTTTAATTCAATTTGTCTATTGCGCCTCCTCATTTCATTGATTGGCATATTTATTTTTTAGGAAGCCGACTTTTTGAGCAAATATTTTCGTGACAGTCTCTTGAAACCTTCAAAAGATTACACAGTCAAAATAGCAGCCAGTGCTTTTGCTTCACAACTCAGGTATTTATTGTTGAGCATTGACCATCATAAAGCATTCTGTCATAATTTATTGCAAACACGAATTTTAGACTGTACCTTAATCGGAAATCTACGCATATCCCTTAATTTATATTTATGTAAATCCATTCTTCCTTCAGCTCGGAACTCAATTACGTTGATCTAAGTGATGCAGATGAAGTTAACAAACTTGCAGACAAGATTCGCAATAGTCATACTGATCAACCACTGGATATAGGAGCGTAAGTTTCATAGCTCTTTTTGTTTCCTTTTTTTATTGGTTCCTTGCACAAGTACTGAAAACATTTGAAATGAATACTAAACAATGGAAAATACGAATGCATTCAAGTCGATGTGATTAAATTTGTTCACATGGAAGTGTAATTTATCGTATGAGAAGAGTCGAACGCGATTTTTGGAATTATTTGACAAATCGATCGTTTAATCATTCAACGTGATTGCTGATTATAATTTCTTAAATTTATGCTTAAAAGAAGTTATAAATAAGTTTATTTCTCGACGAGTAAAATGGAAATATTATTGCTCAAAATGATGTTTCGTTGGCCGGTTTAATCCTTCTTTTTTCGAACGATATCACTTCTCAATTTATTTCAAATTAGTCAGAAAATAAAATTTGAAGTGCACTTTCCTCGCTGATTAAACGAAAACAAATGACAATATTCGCCGCATCTCCACTTGGACAGTATACATTGGTTTTGATGGCTTCTGGTCAAGGAAAAAATTATGAAACTGCGAAGGCCAATGCACAAACACTAAAGGATAACGGTATTACACTCATCACAATCGATTTGAATGGGAATCGTGAAGAATTGAACGATATTGCTTCTTCAGTTGAAGATTCCTTTAATGGAAAGCCAATTTCATCTGGTGACACCACTGTGAGCGACTTACCTTTTCACATATGTTGATTAGATTGCTCAATTGATCAACGCGTTTGGATTCCTTAACCCTTCAAACATTCCATTACAGCATAAGTGAAATTAATAAGTATTTTTTCGTTGACGATATGTCAAAAGAGAGATATAATTTTTAAGGGTATGTCACAATTGGCAAAGAGAATTTCGGATGTAGTTGATCAACAACCACCAGTAACAATACAGCCATCGACCGAAACACCATCACAGCCACCGACCCCAACACCATCACATCATCCACCAGCTAACACAAGAGTTCTGATTCTTGTTGATGGTTCTAAAGGTATAACACAACCACAAATGATCAAGGTTAGATATATCATTATGATCAATTGTTTGTTACTTCAATCATTTACCATTCATTTAAAAATCACTCACTCACTTGATCATCCATACACTTTGTTCATTTCTGTTATTTCTCATTAATCGCATGAAATTTTTCTTGCAAATAAATCTTTCAGATCGAATTTCATCCCTTTACTAATAGAGAATGAAAGGAATCTTTTTATCGCTCTCATATAGTTGACGTGAGATAGTAAGAAATCGAAGATTTATCATCTGTACAATATTGTGGACGATCAACTGAGAATAGGTTCAATACGGAATGAAGAAAAAGTGTTCAAAAAATAGATTGCTCGCAGCGAGTTTCGAGTGGTTCCAAAATGGTTCAATGAATGCGAAAGTGAATCCAATTCGGCAGTTATCTCGCAAACTAACAACTTGTTTATCAGATGTGACTTTTGGCCTGTTGAAGGTGAATCATGAATTGTCATTCAGCAAACTGCATTCATCGAGAACCAATTGAGAGAAGCGATGTTATATCCGAGTGAACACGGCCATCGAACCGAAGTATTGTTAATAGCGTATGCATTCGATACAAGTCCAGATAACAGTGAATACATCACATTAGATTTATCGGAATGGGTTCAGCCAGTTATGAATACTAAACTAGCACCAGTTACCACATTTGTTGAACCACTCGATCTTCTCCAACTTGGACAGTGCGTTTTTTCTCGTTTTGTTTTATCTTTCGCATTCCTTTCGAATGGTATTCTTAGGTTGAGGTAAATTAGTGAAAATGATTTCAATTAATCATTTTCCCAAAAAGATTATCTCAAAAATGGCTCATTCTTAACAGCTTTTTATGTGCGACCGCCTAATTGATTGTACATTCAATTTGTATTGATAATCTAAAAAATTAATTCTTAAATTAAAGTGTTGTCAATTTTCTGCGATAACGGTAATCAGTTCTGTTCACTACTGATCATGAATTCAGGTAATGAGTAACCGAGTTAGAGTGATGTTCTTACCTGATCACTGTATTTTTCCTTCTCGCACATCTTTGTTGGTTTTCGACCTTCTCCACTCCTCATCCATACGTGAAGTGTGCTTAGAGCAAATGCAGTTTTTGACGTATCATTTCATGTGCAGTTTTAGAGATATTATCTAGGCACAATGAGCAAACCGTTCAGTTTGGTGCAGTCGCTTTGAGAAAGAAATTCTACTCAAAGATTACCTGCAGTGACCATACAATTGATCATCGAAATGTGAACTTTTATGGCAGCTTATCGTCACTTTCATTGGAATCGTTAGAAAAAGTGACAATTAAGTGACTTATTCAATTTTCAGAGCCTTAACTGAAGTGTCAACCCAAGAGGTGTTGCCAACACACTTGCTGGTGCTAGCTAGTGGACAAGGAACTGATTTTCAAAAGGCTTTAACAGCAGCACAAAAACTGAAGGATAAACAAGTTAAAATTATTACGTTAGCCACAGTTGGAGAATCCAGTGAATTGAACAGTATCAGTTCTGATCCCTCGTTCGCTCTGGATGGACGTGACATTCTTACTGGGCAGGTATTCATTATTTTATTGCACTTCATTACCTCACAACTCTTGGAACTCAATTTTTGTCCCGACGTGCTTGAAAGCTTGAGAATTATTCAACATTGCGACAGTGTAACAACGATAATAATAATAATAATAAATAATAATAATAAATAATAATAGTAATAATAATAGTAATAATAATAATAATAATAATAATAATAATAATAATCATTGTTAATGTGTCGAAGCGTTACTAACAGTCATACATCATTACATCAAAAGTGATTGAATATAATATTTTTAGGATCTTGAATCAATGGCGAAAAATATCGTCAAATGCATCTACCCTCAAAGTGCTCTTCCATCCAAACCCAAACCACGCAAGCGTATCAGTCAAAAAGTAGTGTTGAAACAAAAACCAAAACTCACTCCAGCTGAAGTTGCACCTCAATTACCAGTGATCACAGCAGTCCCAACTTCAAATGATTTTGTTATTCTCATCGACGTATCGACTGGAACAGGTGTTGGAGACCTTGTTAAGAAGGTAACTTATTTTTCGTAAGGGAACTTATTTATTTTTCGTTCTTCATAGTTTCTTGTCAAATTGTTCAACAACATAGCACTGCATATGATTATTCACTAACATAACATTACGTATATACTTTAATTGTGTGATTTATCTATTTTTTTAAACGTTCTTTTCGCTCATTACAAAGTGTTAATTACTGTGAGCAAGAGTTTTAAGAGTATCATCATTATTTCTAATGAGTTTCTACCAGCATTAATAGTCCCATAATACTGGTCTATGTAATTCTAAGATGAATATATCTTAAAAACCGAACTAGCTATCAAGTAAACTGTTCAGTCTTACCAAATCTTGATTTTTTCTGTTGATGTGAGTTTAAATGATACTAGGAATTTCAAAGTTAACAATGACAATAAAATCAACTGGTGATAGTGACAGTATGAAAACCCGCAGTAATAATTCTTACAATAACTGAAATATAATAACAGGTGACAAAAATAATGCAGTGGTCAACGATATCAGTAATCAACAACATTAATTTCAGCAAACTGGGTTTGTTAAGGACAGTCTAATTCCTAAACTCAATACGAAATTCGCGGGACGCCCTAATAGAGTCGAAATCATACCGTATGCTTATTTCACTGCTGCCGTTGCTGAGAAGTTTACCGATTTAAGTGACACTGACGAAATTTTAAAGCAAATACACACTGCAGAAATCGCCACTATCACATCGTTCATGTCTCCGCTGGATGAATATAATTTGGAATAGTTCGTTCACTTATTCATTTGTTGATTATTGCTTCTCTTTTCACTACTATCACCAACAATAACTTATATACTTTTATTTGACGATTTATTTTAATTTTACGATGAAATTGAGAGTTTTGTTAATAATCATCATTATCGTTGATCATTCATTCGATCTTTCGTTAATTTAGATGCCATTCCACAAATATCTGATCTCTTGAGTGTTTTGTTTATCTCAGCACCATTTTAGTTTTCTTCTTTTTGTTTGCATACATCGAATAGCTGCAAAGTTCTCCTCTGATGCATTCCAAAGAATGCTAACTGAAGCGTTCTGGTTAGATGTTTCAGTGCAAGTAACTATATGATATGCGATTGGTAAAGTTATTAACGATTTGATTTGTTTTGTTAATGAAATTGGTCACGCTCGAAATCGAGTTCAGTTAAAACAAAATGCTTAAATGCTATTGATGAATGCTCAAACAAAATGTTATTCGGTTATTGCTAACTTATTTTCAGTACTCTGAAACTGTTGAACGGGTCCTATTTTGTAAAGAGCACAGAAACGAAAATCGTTCTGATCACTAATGATCAAGATAGCACAGCAAGTCAGCAGGTAAATAAGCAAGCCAAGGATTACGCGAAGGATATCATTACTGGAACTAATAAAAAACTTGCTGTTATTGGCATTAATGGTAAAATTAAGGCTTATGACGAAATTCCAAATAAACCCGATATGAATATCGATGGATCAGCAATAAAATTAAATACGGTACTTTATTGAACTAATGATCACCTCATTCGTTGTTTCTATCGATTTTTTTAGTACATTTTCTACCCGTATTTTAACAGTTAATATTCCATTTGAATTGCATGATAGTTAATGAGTTTGTAAGTCCAATTTCATGTAACTTTAATGAATTGGAGCTTTGATTTTGCGATTTGCATTAATAGAAATCCGAGATACTGAATACTGTGAGAAGGCAAGTTCGTGATGATAATAGCAGTAATGATTATAATAATAACGTTGACCATAATGACGTCATCGATAGCAAAGATAGTAATAATGACAATAATAATAATATTCATTGCTTTCAGGGGCTTAACGAGCTTGCAGAAAAAGTAGCAAACGCTTTATCGTCAACTCAATCTGGTTTCGCGTATATGGCACACAATGTGCACCAACCAGCAATCGGTAAGTGGTTTTAAGAACCGTGAATAACTACCAAAAATATGTTTTTAAGCGAGCAAAGGTGAGTTTAGAGACTTCAACTGAATGCTTTACAAAAATAACAGTTATTTCTACATTCCACTCTAAAATTAACATAAAATTGTCAAGCTGTTCTGTGTTACGGTGATTTTGAGTATCTTGATTTATTTAGCAATTCAGTGTATGCGTTACCTTTTCTTTTTTAGCTGCCTAACGGTTTACATGGGATCGCACGATCAAATGAATAGTGACGAGGATTTTGGTGGTCGATTTTGTTCTCATGAAAGATCAACCAACGATTCACATCTACTTTTGATACATTTTGATATATTACTGCTAATTTTTCCATTGACTTTATTTAACAATTAATTATGTGGAATGTTTTTTTTTCGTTGAAATTTTTTGATTGAGGAACAGCCCATTACTCTACCGGCTAAATTTTTGCCCCATTTCATAATCTAATTATTTTCTTATTTCACCAAGTAATACAGTCTGTCCCGCATACCCTAACGGTCAAGTAATGAAGAGTATTTTGTGCGATGAATGATTCTGCTGACGATAACGTTTTGCCGGCTACTTCCGGACGATAAAGAAGGTTTTGCAAACGTCATGAAATACACCTTCTGACCGTGATGAGAGAGATGCTAATGCAGTAAAATTTGTTGATGAATTCGAAGTTTAACTGAAAAAAAAGCTTGTACATCGATCAAGTTTTCAAGAGTGATGAGACAACTTTATGCAATCTGATGTTACCTCAGAAAACGTTGGCGTGTCATTTCGACAGGACAGCAGGATGCGTCCCCACATTGCTTCATGTGACTCGCCAGGATCTTCCAATAATCCTGCCCAGAACTTCGAACCCAAACAGTGTTGCGACAAAATGCTAGCGAAGCAGAAGAAGATTGAAGATTATTCTCCTTAAGAGTTATATTCCATTTCATTGGTTGACTGAGGATAGCGTTTGATGAGGTGCATTTGAATCAGATCATTGTCGTTTAGCCTGATCAACATGTTGAGCATGATCAAGTTTCAAAAAAATCGCCAGATGATCTCCGTCATCCGAACAGACCCAAGACCCAAAATCTCGGATATAGGGACAAGACTGTATCATACTTATCAGTTGTCAGTTGAAAACATTTTCACATTGACTAGCAATGTTATTAGTCCTGATTTTTCATTTTAATTTGATTTATCATTTGCTCAACATTGTCTAAATCATTATTATTCAAATTAACAATATTATTTCATTCACATCACTTAAAGCAATGTATTTTCATTAAATTTTGAATCAATGCAACGAATTATTTATCTATTTGTTTAGCCAGTAAATGCAACTGATTAATCGTTTCTTTTATCAGTAAATATTTGAAAAGTGTTGGCTACTGAACTCGATTATAGTCAATTATAGCTCATAAACTCATGCTCTGCTAAGAAGTAAGTTATTAGTTGTTCGTTTGAAATTTCAAATATACTCTATTATAAAATTCGTATCAACATTGTTTAAATGAACGTTTCTTTGTGAACTTATTCGGAAGCTTACTTTTCTGGTGCATATTCTAAACTGAATAAACTATCCAGACATTATCATAACGCAGAATACGTCAAGATATTCGGATGAACTGCGTAGTTTTGGCATGCAATAAAATTCAATATTTTGTCCTCAGGAATTGATAAGATAGTCTACGTACAGATATCAAGTGCAATCGATATAGAACATACCCTACTTTGCTGACGCACCGACGCGTTTTCGTTTACTGTACTTACAAGCATACACGAAAAAAGTGGGAGATAAACCGAGAGCAGAGTGCTATCAGATGACATCGATAAAAGAGCTATACGGTGCTAACGAAAACAAAATTGCATTGGACGGCGTGTGTGTGTTTTGAGGCATCTAACTTGGATGGCCAATTATCGAAACTGGATAATTTCGTCTGAGATTGACGGGAGCATTGAAGATATTGCGCTACGATTGGAAAGCTTCCGGGGATCTGTAGAGTTCATTTGTTTCTGATAGTACTTTTGTCGACTTATTCACAAGAGTCAGTTGAAAATTTTCGTGGGTTTTCAATATCAAACAGGACCATCCTGTGGTAGTCATCGAGCTGATCGAAAATCTGCTTTCAAAACTACCGGAATTTTAGGAGACCGAGAGTTATGAGGAGTAGAAGGGCGTTTAGTAAAAACAAGCGATGCTTTGGAGTGAAACTTCTCACAGTGTTCGTAGGGCAGTGGTGAAGGGCACACTCTGAGAAGATGGGTCCGTGGAACATTGCAGCGTACGGAGTTTAGTTGTTGATTTATCGCGCGCAATTGTTATATTCTGATTCACAGTTGGAAACATTCGGTTTAGTGTTTCTAGATTCATGTCTACCTTGGTGATTCTCAAAGTTAAAACTCCTGTAAACAGAAAACAAACTTGAAAATTCCGGACATAGAATACGATGATCAGAAATTGAGTACTTCTGGAAATAGACTGCGGTGATGGCGGTTTGCATGGAAATTTTCGCTTGGAAATAGTTGCTTGCGGAGCGATCTTGTACTCTGACTTCAGTGCGTTCAACATTCAACACTTCAGATCGCTCGTCTATTGGTCCAAGTTGAATGTGTATCAGATGTAAGTGCAAACTACCATTCACTATTTATTAACACGTCAGTGACAGTGCTATTTGATAACACCACTAATCATGTGATAGTCACTGATGACTAGCTTTACACTTCTAATTCTCATTCTAAATGGATTGTTACAAATGAATGCCACCCAGATCGTCGCTTATCTGTCACAGATAATCAATAATAACCGCTTGGGTGGCCATTCTTGCTGGAAAATTGTCATCGCTAGGGAAAGCTCAGCTAAATCAGCGTCCATTTCTCGCGTCATTGTTTCGCATTGTATTCTGTTGGTCGGTTGTTAGTGAAGTGGTCGTTGATCGGCTCATTTCTGACGAATACTTAATTGTTTTGACTTGATTGAACTGATTGTCAGTTGCTTTCACGATTCACATTGATTATTGCTAAAGAATCAATCATTTTTTGAACTTACTGCTGTCACTTTTGTTTGTCGTGCATTTCACATCAACAATGAATCTTCTGCAGTTCCCGTAAAGGAGGCCTAAAATTTCGAATGATTGGAGAAGTGAAAATGTTTCAACCGTTTGATAACGTTTCAAACTGTCATTTCTTTCGTTCTATGGGTTTTTGTAAATCCAGGAACTACTTGCAAAAAACCGATCAACCGATACTGTATTGGATGAAATTCATCATGACGCCTACATAAGTTCATTGTGATTATCAGTTGCATTCATTCGATTATCAGTTGCCTCAGCCCATACAACCACGGATTTGAAGAGGTTAACTGCAAATTTTCAGAGGATATCTGCTTTGTTTTGAACCATTATGAACATTTGAAATCGTCGTGAATAGTAATAAAATGTTATTCAATCGTTACCTTAATCATTTCGACTAACAGTCATTGCATAACACTGTTACTCTTTCAGTCTGATGATGTAAAAACAATCAGTTCATTCAACAGCCATACGATCTACAGTATTTCACCTGTGTAGATCGCATCAAACAGTAACAATTCATTATTAATGCACGAACTTGATGGAACGTAATTAATTGCACAGGTTTTTCATTCAAGTATTATGATTCAGTTTTCTTCTTCAGTCATTTATCGGCCATTCGAACTTATATGTTTTTATTATGGTTTCACTTTTTTAATGCATGAACTCAGTGTCGCTTTTTCGCAGTCGGATTTATTCAAGAGAAGTTTCTTAAAATCCATTTGAGAAATCATCGATTGATTATCATCATAAAATTCTGCGAACTCTCTCTTTTCTCCAACCGTTCACGTCCGAATTTCTTTTTCGATTTAACATCTCTATGGTTCAACTCTAATAAATTAAGTCTGAAAAAAAGAGGAGAAAGTGAAGAAATATCTAACACAATTCAGAAGTTGAGAAGTAAGCGATCCATGATGTTTGTAATGTGAATTCAAGATTTTCATAAGTTTGGATGTTATCTCATGAATATATTTTAAGAACAGAAGAAATGAAAACAGATGGATTTTCATAATTAATCAATGCAACTGTGCGAGATTTAGGTTTTTTTGATCTGCGGAAAGAATTTCCTTGTAAAACTGGAATTGCGCTTCATATACATGAAATAACGAGTGTTAAACGAAACAATATTCTTGAGAATCATTAGTTTCTCTTTATCTATGTTGCTTACCTTCGTGTAGTAATCGCGACGGACTAATTTCGATGAAAAATGAAGATTCAGATTCAAACTCATGAATGTAAGTGGAAGAACCACAGCGCAATGTAATAAGTTATGTTTGCGTTTGCGTGGTGATACGGCAATCACGAAAGCATTTAATAAACGTCAGTATATGCGTCTCTTCGGGTTCAATTCTCCTTTTATTGCAGCAGCGCATGCGAAAACTCGATCCGTTAGTTGTTTAACCTAGAGAAGAATCTCCTTATGATTTCAGCATGAAATAAGTTTTTTTTTGCAGTTAGTGTTAGCTTGATTTCGTCGATCAAGCTACACCCACTAAGGTAAACAGTTTTCTTCGAAATTGTTCACCATAGTTAACCATAAGAAATTGGTGTCTTAATAAAATGAGTCTCCGCACGACCTCCAGCTAAAATTTATGTCAAAACACATTCTTCGCTAAATATTTTCTGTAATATTTACCGGAGCTCTCGAAATGCCGCATTTTTTTTCCAGCTCTCAATAACTGTTGTTTCATCGCCGTCTATGGTCGCCAATAAACTTTTCACACTCTTCAGGTCTGGGTTTACCTTTTGACTCAATGAATTTATTCAACAGGTAGTGTTTGGTGATAGAGCCCGACTTGCATATTTAGGTAACTCAAATGCTTAAACGTTCATCTTAATCATTTTCACCACAACCGCTTACCTAACATCGTCAAATGACTTCGACTAACACCTCTTCCTAACACGCTCAAATTTCAGGACCGTAACCACATCACTGTATGGAATACTACTGTGCATTCTCTGCTCATTCATTCGTCCATTCAGCTACTTTACTTACAGATACACACCCACTAAGGAAAATGTTCGTTGCTGGTTCATTAGACATCAAATTTATTTGGTTGATTTGAACATAGCTTTGGCGTCACTCCAAACATAGGGTGTTGGTGATTGTGCTTGTTTGCAATTTGATGGGATATGATCTGGAGATGCGACGGTTTTGAGGGGAAATATCGTTGGGAATTTGATTTTGTTGCGATGTTTCGCAAACTGCGAGTGGATAATCTCATTTTTCTGATTCTTGAAGTTTCTTATATGCAGCTTTGTTTCTTTGCAGCTCTCGACTGTCTATGACGACGGTCGTTATTACGTGATTGCTTTCCTCTTTTGAATGCATTCCCCGAAACTAGGCTGAATTTGTGTAGACTGCATGCCCAGGTTGAGGCTCACCTCGACACTCATGCGGTTTACTCTGTCACAGTTTGGAGAGAAAATGGCGAGACATGGTATTTATCGACATCTAATCATCTTGAAGATGAGTGAGAGAAAATATTTAAAAAAAAAACGTTTTGTAAATTTATTTTTGGTTGAATGATTTTTCTCATAATTATACAGTTTTATTGTGTTTTCGATTGAATTTACTTCATTTCGCTGAGCTATTTTCTATGAATCTCCATATTATAGCTCAAAAAACATTGGAAGATGTTTTAAGTGAATATTCAAATATACCGATTTGTGCATACCACATGCTTATTTCTGCTTATCCGGAGGAATGTTTCACTAAGATTCAAATTCGATTACACTTGGTTATTCGGATCGTTTCGGGTGGCCATTTGCTCTCAGATCTTGTTGTTGCTTCTCTACCGTTTCAGTGAGAAGAACGTTTTGAAATTGATTAATGTTTTCCACTTCTACTGTCTGTGTTTTATTAAAAACTGTACGGAATTCGTCATCCGCTGTGTGATGTTCAGAAAAGTGATTTAGTGTGTTTGTAAAAGAATAAGATATTTAGAAGCGACAATTTGATGATAAAAAGAAATGGATTGGATAAGAAGTAAATTGTAATGGGACCTGAAGAGTTGATGCTTCTGAAAATTTGATTAAAGCGTTTTTACAGTGCTTATCGTCCTGTTTGATTAGGAACGAGCGTTTGTTCAAAAAGAATATTGATTATTAATTGCATGTTCATATGATTTAGAACCGAAATGAATATGTTGTTGTGAGCTGCATGTGTCAATCAGCAATAAAATAATTGTTTTCAAGGAAAGTGGGTAAGGTGCAGTGTTCTCATTGGAGTTAGGTGATGCCATCATAAGTGAAATGGATGCGGAACACTCTAACGTAAGTCGTTCTTTACAGTTTAATGATTGCACATCTTCAGCATTTGCTGTCACCTGTCCACTCTCTTGTGAGGTGAAATCGTTTTCATTGTTGTAAACAATAATTATGAAATGAAATATCATAATTTTAAACGTCGGAAAGTCTCATAAGATTATAATTTATGCATTTTGAGGCAACAAATGGAGAAGATAGTGTCGGCGAAAAGTGTAAGCCTGTTAGTGGACTGCAAATTAGTACTGATAATTGGCCAATATCAACGGACAAATCTGCGGTTGATTTTGGTTCAGAAGTTTGTTTTTCATTCACTCATTTATTTGATTTTTCCTGAATCATTTTGAACTGAAAATCGTCAGAAATACGTCTTGTTTTTACTTTCATGTAGGGTTGAATTAGTAGAGAGCCAGTTCTTTACGATCTGGAAGTGGGTTTGCCCAATATTAAATACCAATCGATGAATTCAAAGTAATGATGAGTGCTGTAGCCGATACCGAATGAAAGTTTCAAATTCAGTTCATGGTGAGTGTTGGTAAGAAACATGAGAGTGATGGAGGCTTAAATGGTGATTTGCAAGAGCTGTCATTAGAAGCTGAAAAACAGATTAGATGCCAATTGTGTAATAAAGCAACAGCAAATACAACAAATACAAATGGATTTTTAGTTATGTCTTGTGGGCATAGGTTTGTTTCATCTTCATTCCATATTGTACGCATATTTATTTTCTATTATTTTGATATTTTCAAAGGTAGGGTTGTGCCGAAAAAAACGAGAGTTAAGGGGAATTTATTCTAAAGACAGACATATATGAAGATATTGAAAGGCGATGTTCTAACTAAACTCACGGCGATAGTTTCTCGTTTCTATTTCAATTATGTGATCGTAAACCAACCAAAATTGATGAGCGTACGAGAAATTCAAATGAGTGAATGATTAAGATTCGTTTCTCATCTTCATCTCACATCATCTCGTCTTGTGAATATTTAAATCAGGCAGTCATCCCATGTGTGACATTGAGAGTGATTATTGCAGGTATTGTCTATTTTGTGCACCAGTAATCAATACAGCACAACGTTGTCTTCTGTGCTTGAATTCGGAATCGAATTCATATTTACCACCTAAATTACCGTCACCTCAATCGGTACAAAAAATATCGTCAAATCCATCTATGTTCAATGAAATTCCTCGTCATAATCAAGGTGATATTGGATTATCTGTACCCATTGAGCAAACGTTCTCGATTTGGAACCCTATTACACCAAAATCTTCCTCTCAGTCACAGGTTCGTTTTATCATCATTTGACCTGATGACAACGCCTATTAATAAAGTCCTTATATAATTGCTGTTAATGATTTAGTCATAACGAAATCAGTTTACATCACTTAATTGGTCCATCTGATGGTTCCGAATTTTACGTTCAATAATATTGAATTGATAAATCATCGATGGCATCATTTGTAAACTTGCTGCATTTAGCTAGATATAAAGAAATGAATCGAACATAGTACCTTATCCGAAATTATTTTTTCCTCCGTGAACGAGATATTATGTGGTAATGCTATACCCACTGAATATGTCTACCGAAATTGCTCTTTTTTCATATGAGCGAGATCGTTCATTTATTAATGTTCACAACAGATTATATGTTAGTGAAATTATTCATAAAGTTAGTTGATTTTTAGCGACTGTCAAAATATGTGATGTCGTCAGTGATAGATGGTGCAGCAAATCAAAATTCTTCATCTCAGCAATTAACTTCCCATATGCCATCAGTGGGTAGCAATAATATTGTCTGTAATAATAACACTAATACTAATACTACTACTGCTAATAATAATAATAATGCAATTACGAACACAACTAAGAATATTGCTGCTATTAATAATAATAACGGTAATAATTTCTCACTACCTCCACCATTAATGGCGCAAACATTAAATTGGCCTACGGCATCCCGAACTGAGATTCAAGCATCATTCGATCAGCAGCAGCATCAGCAACAAAAACGCACATTCTTAAAGTGTACAATGTGTGCTGAGGTATCACTATGTTTAGTTGTTAAATTAATTTAAGTACAAGTGATTACATCACATTCTCGATTTTATCAAGTTTCTCTTTTAAATTCACATCCATTTATTTACGTGTCAACGTTTTACCGATGCGAATTAGATAATGTTCACGAAACGGCATCAGATACAAAATTCTTTTGCACATTTTTTAAAAATCATTTTCCAGTATTGGTCGATGATTTTTGGTTTATAATAAATATGTTATTATGAATAATATTTGTGCATATAAATTATTGTAGTTCTTGTTTTATTAAAGTATTTTTTGAATTGATTTGTTTACGTTAGTTATTTAATGAATCAAGGTAGAATAGTTGTTAAAGTAATTGTTAATAGTTAAAGTTAAAGTAAGCAAGCATTCAGTTGCGAGTGATAGCAGTTAATAATGATTGAAGGAGAATTCATTGGCGAAAGCACGTTGTATACAGTGTGGTGAAACACTGTGCAGCGAATGTGTTGCTGCTCACCATCGAGTTCGAATGACTAGGGATCACACACTTATTGGTATTGAAACATGCAAAGGATTCAACTTAACATCGGTATATTGTTCATTCATTGAATCGTGATGATGCGAGTGTCAATATTAATAAATGAAATTCATTAAGGTAGCGAGTGGAAACGAATTGTTCAATTTGGATGACGTAATGGATAATGAAACGTGTGGAACACACGACGCTCCAATGCTGTGCAAATGTACAATATGTATTGGTATTGGCTTATGTTACATGTGTGTTATGGAACATCCGAAACATCATCAGTTAATGGCGTTAAACGATTTGCGTGCATCGATTAACCTGTTGATCAATAACTCGAAACATGACCAGAAGAATATCGAGGATGCTGTGGAAACTGTTCGACGAATGGGTGAACGTGTTGAAGCGTCTGTTCAGGTTCTCCGCTTTCATTCCTTTTCATCTGCATAGGTTATCTTTGGAGCGCGCCCAGAATTTGCTGTTGTCAAAACGTGTTAATTTGCGGTTTTGTTGATCCATAGAAACTACCATCAGAGGATACCGCTCGTTCCTCTGTAATGTCACTGGTATTGTCAAGAATCTATATTCCTGCATTGCGCGAATGGTGCCTAAGGTGAAAAAACAATTGGATGACGCCACCTTTCAAGCTGATTTCTGAACGAACATTGATAGAGGTTATTTTCATTCAAAAGGCAACTTTTTAAGGGATATGACTAAAATTTTCCGGGAACAAAATTTCACTAGATATTCATCTGTGTTTCATCGGAATAATATAATTTTTAGTCGGTGATGCGTGAACTGCGTTCGGTGATACATATGCACATAAGCGCATTAGAACAACGTAAGTGTGACTTACTACAACGATTGGACACTATTCGGCAGTCAAAAATGAGTGTTTTGAAAGCTCAGGGTGAACGTCTCACTTCTCGATTAACGTCACTGAATGATGTTTTGAAAGTATGTTCCTTTTTTCATTTTTTTGCTAAAATTTATTTTTATTTCGGATTGTGAAAATGCTTCAAAATGAACAGTCTAATAGAAATTTTGCTTTCATTATTGCTAGAATCGTTGTGAACATTATAGCCGAATGCGAATAAAATAATACTAGCTGATGGAATAGCAACAGTGCTGCAATATAATTGTAACGATAGTAATCAATATATTCCAAGGCTGCTGAATTGGTAGTATCGTCGTCAAGTGATGGTAATGATGTGCATCTGTGTTCAACATTCGATTCACTATTGAATATTGTTCGTGAACAAAATGTTCATTTGATACCGAATGAAACCGATCTCCTCAAATTGATTCCGCCTGATGATTCGTTCATTAATCGGTAAGTTTGTTGTGAAATGCAATAATTTCATTCCATTTGACACACTGACAGTTATTTCATCATCATCTTCGGTATTATTTTACATTAAGATGAACAATTGTTCAGTTTGAATTCTCACGAAAATTGTTAGCCATAAACTCATCGTCAACAAACAGTGAAGACAAGCCTCGGCCAGAGCCTTAAGGATGTACCGAAACCAAATGCTAAGCCTAAGATTCTGAGTCTGAATCTATGTCTAACACTTAATTTTGAGCGTAAGGTACAGCCGTAGCCTTAGCTCAGTTCTGTTTTCAATTGGCTAAGATTCAAATCGGTCCCTATTGTACATCAACGTCTCAAGTTCATTCATGAAAAATTTTTGAAAGAATCATTTGCATACTAGTATTCTTCTCTGTAGGGCCTCGTAGACCGGATTCCTGACGAGCTGTCCAGAAAAGAAACATTTCGTTAAGGAAACTCATGCATCATGTGGGCATACCTCTTCAAGAAGTTCCAATGACTGCTTTGCAGTGTTCTTTTAGGATGTTATGATAACAGTATAAATGCCTATTTATAGATCTTATAAAAAATAATTCGCTACATTGAAAAGAAATCGTTGTTTTGCATTCAAATGACGAGTAATAAATATGCTTGTTGTTAATTTTGATGAATAAATGGTTTAAGTTTGCGCAGTTTATGTGAGTTGGAAAGTGGTGCATGTGCACGCACAACGCATTTGATTGGTGACAGTTATAAGCGAGCAATTCGTGATCGGATGAGCGTTGTTGAAGTGCAAACAAGAGATGCATGTGGTGATGCGTGCATCTCAAGCAGTCATTCTATTACGGCCAATGTTACTGCACCCGATGGACATCCTCTACAAGTTCATATTAAGTTAGTTCTTTGACTCCTGGTTCGGAATGTAGATATGCTTTTGTTTTATTTTGATGAATATGATGAGATAAATTTAGTGAACGAGAAGGAGGTATCTATGCGGTCAGTTACTATCCGATAGAAGAGGGCAACCATACACTGGACATTTTGATTCGTGGTCTTTCCATCAGGTACTTCCTTTCTGTTTTGCTTTTCAATTCAGTCGTGTTCAAATTTCGTACCATTTAATTATCGTTCTCTGCTGTAACCCCAGTATGCGTCAAACTAATCCGAAGTTGTTCTTCAAAAATTTGAATAGTTGAGAGATGAATACGTTTGGATTTAGTGATTATTCGGAGTTGGACGATGTGATGTGAATTTGGACTAATGATATGATCGATATCAATAGTAATATTACTGACTATATCATTGGTTTTTGCTTGAAAAGCTATGATACGATGTGAAAAGGAGGCAAATTGATGCCGGTAAATAATGCAATTGCAGTGGTTGTCCATCGCTTGTGCAGGTTCGTAAAGGACGTAACTATGCAGAGTTGGCTCGAACAGGTCCAATTTTCTCGTTTGGCCGTGAGGGAAGCGAAGATGGTCAATTTGCTCGTCCGTGGGGTATTTGTTGTGATCATAAAGGCAGAATTATAGTTGCTGATCGCAGCAACAATCGCATTCAGGTGTGTTTTTAAGTGATCAATTTCTTTTTCTCTTATCGATCAATTTTTTTAAAAATTACGAAGTATGGAGAATGCGAAGAGAATCGAGCTTGAGTATTCCTTCAACAACAAAGTTGAAATGACTGAACCAAAAAAAAGTATCTCTTCATTATTTTGTTTCCAATGAAAAAAAATTTAGATATTCGACAAAGACGGAAAGTTTTTAATGAAATTTGGTACGGCAGGTGGACGATCGGGTCAGTTCAATCGCCCGGCTGGTATTGCTGTCAACTCGATGGTATGTGCCCACTGGATTTTTCTGATCATTCCACTACTGCCATATTTAGTGACTTTTGATCTGTTCGTTCTGTCAGTAGTGAGCGTCAATAACAAATTTCAGAACGAAATTGTAGTCGCTGATAAAGATAATCATCGTATTCAAGTGTTCAATGAAGGAGGTGAATTTCTGTTGAAGTTTGGTGAGCGTGGTCGTGCACCAGGTATGTTCAACTATCCGTGGGGTGTGGCCATTAATGCGTACAATCAAATTGCTGTTTCGGATACAAGAAATCATCGTGTACAAGTTGGTCATTTCGTTTATTGGTTGTTGCACTTTTGGATAACTTTCGTCATTACGTTTGATTCTGCGAACTGTTCATCTTGATTCATTGTTACCATTATGAAGCTTTGATGTATTATTATTGTTACCAGTATGAAACATTGATGTGCTATTGCGTGTTCGAAATCAGTAACAGTTCTGTTTTTTTTTCGATAACACGTTTAGACTGTCCATAAAAAAGCGTTTGAATTCAGAAAAAAATTGTGGCAATTCGAGTGACGAAATTTTTGTATAGAAAAAATGAAAATCTGAAAAGTGCAGTTTACATCTCAGAAGAATGTAAAACAGCTTGTACGAAATTTCATTTCGAAGAAAATTTGTCTGAAAGATCGCTTGATCAAAAATTTTTTCATCTTAGGAGGTATATCGCAAGAATTGGACTTTCGAAAAAAAATTTTTTTCTTGGTGTCTGCTCCAAAATCGTGTCTGTCTGGCTGAGAACAACATCTGTGTATGTTCTCTGGGAAAAATGGGCTGGAAGATCGATCTCAAAACTCTAGAACTCAAAAAAAAATAATCGCACCATCTTCACTATGCGTTTAGGCGCTCTAAGCAAAATAATAGGTCGACCCTGCGACCTTTCAGACCGATTTTTTTGTTGTGATGTTTTGTATAGTTTGTTTCTAAATCGAAACATTCTCATGAACTGTGACCTTAGAAATTCTGGAACTCAAAAGAATTGTCACCCTAATGACGGCAGAATTTTGGATGTAACAGTTGTTACGCTACGTGTGTTTCACTGTTGGTACATACAGTTATTATTTTTGTTGAGAAGTCTAAGGATTTTTCTGTTCAATAGATTTTAAAAGTTGTGTTATTACCAAGAGAATATTTGTAGATTTTTTCACCTCAAGGTCATTATCTCCGCAAATGCGGTTTCGATTCATCATTATTCTACAAAAACTTGGATTCGCCTCGTGGAGTTTGCTTCCTACCAGATAGTCGTCTCATTATCACGTATATTATTATTATTATTATTATTATTATTATTTTGATAGTATTGTTATTATGTGCACTATTATCTTCATAACTGTCATCATGAAATGAGCAAAGGATTTTTGAATTAGCTATCCATATCTTATGCAACAACACGTATGCGGAAATGATGCACGTGCTGAGGGTGTAACTGAAATGAAATGTATTTTATAGCGACTTCAATAATCATCGTTTGGTAGTTGTGTCGTCTCATGGACCTAGCGAAATACAATGCTATGGTAGTGAGGGTGATGGCGATAGATGCTTTTGCAGACCGCAGGGTATTACGGTCGATAGCGAGGGTAACATTCTTGTGTGTGACTCAAGAAACAATCGTGTTCAGGTATGTGCTACCGTTGTTCGTATTTCATTCACATTCTTCGACTGAATCTCTTTCGAGTAAGCACACAAAAAAGTCTGATAATATCTCGTTCACTGATAATATTAAGGTGTTAAATGTGGAAGATATGAATTGTGTGGCCACATTCGGCGGTGTGATCTCATCATCAGCAAGCAAGCCTGCCTGCTCAACACCAATCCCATCATCAACTGCAAATGCTCCACCAACATCTTCATCATCTGGCTCACATTCATCAACTGGATTCATCGATACAACTTCTCTTACTTTAAATCGACCAACAGATGTCTGCGTTTCACCCGATGGCACCATTTATGTGGTCGACTTCGGTAGTAATTGCATTCGAGTTTACTAGCTCTCTTTTTCACTTTTTCATCTTAACAATTTATTTATTATTGTGCTACTACTTTTCATCTTGCAATTGATTATCTCAATATTCATATTGTTAGCCAATTTATTGCCTGGCTGAAATTACTCATTGAATTTAACTTTATTCATCAACAGTCATACAAGAGCAGAACTTATTGTTATGAGGCTGTTTGCCGTGCAAGTATGGTTATCCCTTTGATTCATTTTACGGTTTCAACTCGGTGATTACTCCTATCGTCATGTTTTCGTTCATTACAGTGATTATATCGGTATGTCTGTGTTTTTTAAACGTTTATATTCATGCGTGTATGTTTGCTTGGGTTCATACTTTCGTTTAAGTCATCAGTTAGATTCGTTATAGCATATAATGTCGCTTTTTATATAGTTCCTGCAGATCGCTCTTGTAATTGTATATTCAAACACATCTCAAAAGATGTTCTTAAGCAGAAAGAGATTCATTTCATTATTTCATTCTTGAAAATCATTTTCGTTAAAATTTTCAATCGCTTTTCGTTAACGATTGAAAAAAAGTATGAAAGATTCAGACTGTCAGTCATTCCACTCAAATATATTTCTCATATCGTTATTGATGGTCAATCTATCTGTCTCATAAAGAAAGTTTGAACTTGGAACTTCGTTCTGAAGATTCAGATGCGATTAGTGAGGCCGAGATGTTGAATTGTTATTGTTGTTGTTAGTGCAATTATTGTTATCGTGCTGCTTTTTGCTTGCTATTTGTATGTCGTTCGGTTATTATTGCTGTAGTGCAAAACCATCGGTATGCCATTATTTCCCTGACTTTCATCTTTCGTTCGGTTTCATACTCCTCCGATTTCGATTCAATATTCTATTCTGTTGCTTTTGTCTACCTCGCCTACAGTTCAATTCGTTGAAATTATCGTATTCTTATGGAATGATGAGTTGTTATATGGGAATTGGTGATGAAGATGATGGTGATTGCTGCTATTTGGTTTTGCATCCGCAACGGCCTCTGATGGTCGTTCAGTTGCAGTGTTGAAACGTTTTAACAGTAATTATTAACAGCTGTCCATAATATTCTCCATGTGAAACTAGAATTTTCGGCGGCATAAGTGTTTTCCAGCTTTCGAAGGACGTTTTTAGTCATCTTTGAAAAATCAAAATCGATTTTGCTTAATTGTTTCGAAGTTTCACAATCTTATAAGATACAGTTCACCATGTGTAGTTTCGAACTTTCATTCCGTTATCGTTCTATTCGTATCCTCATAATCATCACCATCTACCAATGCTAATAATGATGATAATAATACAATGATAATAATAATAATAATAATAATAATAATAATGATGAATAATATAATAATTCCGATTTAATTTATTGCTAATGTTTATTACGCGAATGAAATCCTTAATTGTCCACGTAATCACTGATGAAACAATCAACCATAAAGTCACCTCTCATGTACCTTACCTCAATTTGGTCTGGCCTTCTTCACGGCCTATGCAACTCTTCCTCATTCATCTTCTCTCTCTTACTACCTCGCTTTCGAATCCCAAAATATGGTTCAAGTCTATTTATTATCATCATCCCATGATTCATTTTCCTTCCCTGATTAGTGACAAATTTCATCAATAGTCATTTCATGTTTTGCTCCTTTTACAAGAATTACCTCCCTCTCATTCAATTTCTCTCTTCTCGTTTTGTTATTCGTTCATTTTGGCAATCTGTTTTCGTTCTTTTTCTGATTTGTTTTTCTTGCACGTACGAATGAATTAATTGTTGGGCGATTTCTTCGCTTTATTGTTGAAATTTAAGTATGTACTTTAACTGCTTTTTCACTCGTCATTTAGGTCTTTTTTTGTTTCGTTATTTCTTTTTTGTTGTTGTTGCTGTTATTGTTGTTGTTAAATGACGTTAACACGTCGCGAGAGGTTATTATTAATTTTTCATCTATATACTGCTAATAACTCAAAATTAGACTTGGTACATCACTCGGTTTCGAGCAAAGCTTTCCTCCGCGAACGGGAATCGAACCCGCGACGTACCAATTACCGGTTGGGGTTCTACCTTTGAGCAGTTATCGTGATCGCTTAGAGATCAGTTCGCTCTGATTGTAGCATTTAACGCTCATCAAATTAGTTTCGCATTATGTGCACTCCAGAACGATCTCTGCAGTATCTCAGAGGTAGAGGCCCCAACCGGTAGTTGTTGCGTCGCGGGTTCACTTCCCGACCGCGGAGGAATGTTTTACTCACAACCGAGTGGTGTACCAACATTGTTGATGTTGTGAGCCTGAGCCAGGCTATGATTAGACTTGTGTCTATTATTCGAAATTAGACTTATTAACCGCTCGGAAGCACTGGTGATGGATGCAGTCTTTGTGGTGGTCGTAATAAGCATTCAATCGTTTTCACTTCTATCGCTTAGTTGAAGGAAGTGGCTGGTTTGATTACCGGCAGCATTTGAATGATAATGTGTATTCGTCGACGCGTTATCTGAATAATGCATCTGTCACATTGCAAGCAATCAACAACTACTGCGGTGTAATATGTTATATTGCTAATTCCAACTTTTCTGTTATCATTTTCAAAATACAACCACTATTCACTACACTCAATGAATACGTTTTACAAATCAACAAAAATTGCATTCTGTTACCTTGATTGATTTGCTTGTATCTATGGATGCATGGATGTGTCATTATGTATTTATAAGTTCGGTTCGTTTCGATGAGCAATTTTTTGATCGAAAGAACGCTAAATTTATATGAAATGTATAGTGTATAATTATGTTAAAATATAACATATTGCTAATATCATAATATTCAATCAGCTGTTTATATGTGAATGTGTGTGTATGTGTGCATTGTTAACGCGTTCCATCTTTCTGTTCTATTAAATCATTGTTCCGTTGTTTACTTATCATTTTGTTTCATTTCTTTCGAATACGATTAAGGGTGTCAGAAATCTGTTACGTCTAACTCCATTCATTGTTTTCATTTTACTAGTGTTTTTGTTTTCGCCCTTCTTTCGATATTTTATAGCTCATTGCTGTCCTTGGTTTATTATTATTTTACTGTTATTATTATGGATATTTATTAGAATTATTCTTATTATTATTATTATCATTGTTATTATTGTTATCTTTGTTATTATAATTATCATCATCATCGTGCTCATTGTTGTTGCTACTTTTAATAATTGTCATTCCTGTTATTGTAGTTTTTCTAACAATTGCAAATAATGGTAATGATAGAACAACTCATTCATCCACGCATCGATGTCATTATTTGTCAGTTATCAATTTGTCCCTCTCACAAAAGGAACGCTGTTTTGTTATTTTGTATTGCGTTTTGTTTTTTGTTTTCTTTATTTGTTTATTCTTTTAACAGTTCGATCAATAAACTATCATGTAGTTTGCTTACTCATATTTTAATTGCTCACGTACTCTTTACACTGTAAAGAGTAATGGTTGTTCAAGCAATTTGCTCATATCTAATCTTTTCATTTTTAAACTGACTTTTCATAGCAACATTTATTTATATTCATCGTTCATCTAATCTCATGTGAATCTTCTCTTTTCATTTGCTTCATATTGATCACTGACTGATTCACTCTATATATATTTACTTCATTTTGCATTCTTTACGCAATTATTGCATTAGAAGGAATAAAATTTTGCGAAAGTTTACGAACGGAACTCTCATGAACATCACTTCGTTGTCTGTTATTCATTCATTGGGCGAAATTCTCTTTGCCCTAACTAGCAAATTTGAACTGTTATGTGGTTGGCTGATTGTTTGTTTTTAATTACTGAGTTAAGTAAGTGCTTTACAAAGTTACAGGTAATGGTTTGATTGAGATTGGGAGAGTTGATTCATCTGATTGGGTTTTTAATTGTAGTTTGTTGAAGATAATCAATTGATTGGTGAACTAGTTTTTAATGAGTGCGGTAATCGTCCTTGGAACAAACGAAGAGCGGAATAGTTCTTGAAACAAGTAGTTCCAAGTTGCGTTAAGAGCAAATTGCACATCAGTCGTTCTTATATAAATGCAGATTAGTTAAATTGTTGGGTATCTGTATTTCGCTTCACTAATCTTGACTTCGAATGCTTCAAATTCTCTCACTTACTTCTCATCTAAATTTTGTAGTGGAACGAATGAATATTAGTGAATAAGATCAAATCAAAGCGACCGTCTTGTTGAAATTTCAAAATTTTTTAAAACAATATCACTGTTAGACGTATTTGATCGTCAATCTGTACAGAATCGCTTAAATTACTTGAACATGTTTATGTAACACATGGTGATGTTATTCGATTAACAGATGTGCCGCATTCAAAAGATAATTTTTTGAAGTATGATCACATTTCAAAATTCACTTATTGTTGAATAGCATTTAGCGTTTTGTTTTGCTTTGCTTTATTCACTGCATTCAGTTGCGCTATTTTTCATTTTATGATGAATGTGCTACATTATAAGTTATGTACTAGTTGAGTTCAGAGGCGTTATTGAAAATGATAGAATATATCGCTTTCATTAGGTGAAAAGTCGCTTATCTTTACTAATTACATTCGATGCCGAGCAAAACTTCTCTCTGCTCGCCGGAGGAAATTGTGCCAGAAACCGAATGGTGTTAGCGAGCATGGGCCTGGCTATGATATCTAATTAACTATCTGTATCGTGTGATTATCCTGCATTGACTTAGCGGTATATTCCACTAGAATATGTCCACATTTATGTGTGTGTAGTCATTCCACTTGTGGTCGATATGATCATTCGAGCCTACTTGAAATTGACGCATGTTTTGTGGATCGTGAAATGACTGTTTTACCATAATGGGACAGTGGCACCAAATACATATTGTGGTTGTAGGTGTGGCGAGTGATAGATTCTTGCTTCAATTGGTCGTTTATTGGCTGCTTGCTTGATCGTCAGTCGATCGATCATGATAAGATAGCAGTTTTTTGAATTGGTTGAGTGGTATTATGGTTGACAGTGACTGATTAATTGATTTGTTTTCGAACGCTCGAACTGATGTCAAATCCAAACAGGACAGAAAAACAGCTGATATGTACGGATTGTGGACGGTGCTCTGAACAGTCGCCTAGTGCAGAAGGACAAAAGAGCAGTGAACAACGACACCTTATTACGTGGTGGTGGTGTCGTGAATGCATGACAACTGTGTGCAGGTTACTCGCTTTGTTTTTGTTTTGAAAACTCTTCGTTTACTTATTATTATTATTATTATTATTATTGTTGTTATTAATTATCATTGGTATTGGTATTGTTATTATTGCTATTGTTATATCTTTATTCATTCCAATTTCTTCACTGTTCCCCGCCTCCTTTCGTCTATAAATCTGAATTGCACTAATACTTGTGCACTTCATCCGGCTAAGAGTAGGCTTGAATTTAGGCTAACAAATATAAAACATTTGATTGAGTAATTTTTTAATAATTGTGATCTGATGATGAATGATCAAATGGTGCAATCGTAAGGAATGGACAAAAACAATGTAATGCACTCCGTATGAACTGCATACGAATAGCTTTTGATCAGTGTTTATTGTTGTGTTAAATGCGACAGATGCTGCAGTGCTCACTGTTCTGAATGATTCCGTCTCTGAAGTTTATCGAAACGAGTGAACAATTTTGTTGTCTTTTATTGCAGTGAATTTATTTTTCTTGCTTCACATTAATAAATAAATGACGATTTTATTAAGTGAACTGCCATCTTCAATAAATAAATTTTCTTCATAGAATTACTGTAGAATTCATAGAAAACAATTCAGCAGAATGACTGGAACAAATTGCAAAAATTAGAAATTTGGAAGAGACGTTTTACATATACGGCAGAGAATGAATAATTGAACCAAGTAATGAAACAAATCAATTTTACAATTTGTCTGAATTATATTTTGAGGTCATCACATAACAACAGGCCCAGTAAACTATATTAAATATGAAAAATCCAGCTGGCATGCTGAAACGCGCGTAGAAGTCTATTTTAGCTGGTAAGTAAGATGGTTTTGTAAACCATTTGCGTACACGATCCGAAAATTTCTGTCGATATGATGGTGGATCGAACTGAAAGGATGTATATAAAAGAAAACGGGAAAAGTGGTAATAAGATAGTGATAATAATAATAATAATAATAATAATAGTAATAATAATAATAATAATAATAATAATAGTAATAATTGTGATAGTAATTTTAACGAACCAAATGACATGTACATGGTGGCTGGTATTGCTCACCACTTTCATCAATAATTTCTTCATTCATTTTTGAATGTCTCTTTTGGGATTTTCTTAATATATCACGTTTTGTTTTTTCTTCTTGTAAGCAGTTGTCCTGATACGAAACAAATGCGTATTCAAGTAGAGCGCCGAATACGAACGTTTGACATGCTGAATTATAGATACGTCTTTATTTGAGTTGAATTCGAATGTAGGTTTTGTTGTGCTTATCGCACTCATTCATTCATTGAAGTAATATTTGACAAACCTCCAAGCCATACGTCGACAACTTTCACATAACTGACGGGTGGTAGTTTGGCATTTATCGACGATTGCTAAATTGTTCGTTTTGAATTTTTATGAAGCGTTTCATATCAATGCATTCGTCACACTCTCACAAGGAAGAAAACTTTCAGTGAGGTTTATTATAGACTGAGAAAAAATTGAGAGAATTTTTATTGGAAAAAAAAGGATTCATCATGTAGCATTTATACACGTTTAAAATTGATAGGTTCAGCTCAGAACGACACTTGAAAGTTTCATCGTAAATACATTTCAAAAGCAAGGAGTTGGTATAAACATTCTGTAAAATCTAATATTAACTAATCAAATACTCTTCACTACGATGTGTAATTGAATAAATGAGCGAAGTGAACATGAAATTAGTTGGACAGGTTAAGTGAGACTTGATTAGTTTCTTCATTGAAATTATTATCTGATTCTTTATTAAATTATAATTGTTTCCATATAAGAGTAAGCAACAGTGATAATAGTAAAAAAAGTTAGTTGCTGAAATGGTAACCTACAAGAGTAGTCATCGTAAGTAAGGTGGTAACACTTAACGCAATTCGTCCAGCTGTCGAGTGCATATCAATCCAAAAACTAACCCAGCTAACAATAACGATCATCGTTGTTGGACCGTATAGTTGTAGAAAATAGTAACTGAGAATAGAAAAAACGGAAATGCTTGAATTTAAACTGGTCAAATATACATCCCTACTAAAGTGTTGTTAATAAGAATTGAAACATGTTATAGAGAATGTTTGGAGTGATTTGACTGATAGTTGAATAGAATTTATTACATAGTAATAGCAAATTTCTTCTAATTTTAGTTTCTTTTATCTATCGCTATTGTTGTTATGTGAGAATATTTTTGAAAAGAAATATGATTTCATTGAACGAAGTAAGAGAAATAGGAAAAAACCTGAATTGTCGTGTTAATTTTAGGCGCATTCGGAGGCATGCGTATGACCCTTAAAATAGTGATTGTGCGTTTTTGAATATGTAATTTTAAAAAGATTTTGACAACTTTTCTTATAAAGGAAGAAACCGAACAGTTCGAATAGATGACATTTCAGAATGTTGAAATTACTTGTTTCGTACCAAAGAATTTTTTTTAAATAGCGTTTCGTAATGTGGGTTATGAATGAAATGGATCTACATAACGCGCTGAGAAATTCGATTTTACCAGTTCCCTAAGGCAACTCTTCATTTGAATTAAGTGGCATTAACCATTTCGTTCAATTTATCTTCTACAAATACACTCTTTTTGATATCCGAATTTGTTTTCACACAGTCTTTTTCTGCCTATCTTTGTTCATTCGCTAAATTATTAAGATTGCGATTGTTATCTTGACGTTTTGTAACGGTACAATTGCTTACGATTAATTTCTTTACACTGAAGGAGAACCATAATAAAATGAAAATAAGTTTAAAAATAGACCTGTGTTCGTATGACTGGTACATTCGTGATTCGTATCAATTGATGTTAAAACGAAATTTGGCAAATCACTACCAACACCAGGTTTAACTTGTACCGGAGATCCTGTGTCATCCCATTGATAAACAATATCCTAAAAAGCAACATATCGTCATTCGATCAGTTGTTAATTCAGTGAAAACGAATATCTAATTATAAGATGTGCAGTAAAATGATACGCACTTTAGTGGTGAACGCATAGCTGATCAAATCAAAATCGCAGTGCTGAACATCCAATGGGTACAGCTGAAGATACATAGGACACGATAGTGTCATCGACAAGCGTACGCTGTAAAGGACTTGACCGTCCGGATAGATTCGTAAGAACATATTCTCCGTATCAACATGGTGACGATGTGCCGCTTTTTCAGTCTAAAATATCATCCTCGAATCACTTCAACAAATCACGCATTAAATTCTAAAAAATTTACCGGAAAGAACGAGTCTGGCATCCAAATGTTATTCTTGACATGTGGTACTGTTAAAAATTTCGGAGCATTACTCTGTTGTAATTTCTCATAGGCCAGTCTTCTGTCGAGCCATCGTTCTCGAAATGTTATTTGCATGCTATATTCCTGAATTCTTATTCTGGTTTCTCGTATTACCTTTTATTATTATTAATTTTGTCATTATTATTATCATTACTTCTATTATTATTTTTTGTAATATAACGTATGGTTGGAGTGGATGAAAATATATCTTTTTTACGAAGTAATATCCGAAGAAAATATTGTCACTGTTTTTCTATAGATACCGCTTTTTAAATCAAAATTTTTGGATGAAATTATAGTTAGAATTGAAGAAGTCTTAAATGAATGCCTCAGTAATCTGTTACAAAAATGTTTTCAAATAATTCTGTTTTACAAATCCGCTAACAGTTTGTCAAAGCAATGCACTCTCCAAAAGTTTGCGATGATATGCTGTTACTAAAAAAGTTGGATGCATTCATTATTGTTTCATATGGTTTAAGGAGTGTGTTGAAACGATGTGTTATCTGCTAGAAAAGTTTTTGGTCATTCGTTTTAATTGAATTTTAGTGTCCTTTCATAAAATGGAACCGACTTTGATATATTATTTCACTGATAATGTTATAAAATGAATTGAAATAAAGTAAATAACAGTTTAAAATGATATTTTCACCATATTGACCACATCGATTTTGCTTAACATTCGAAGCATAATGTTAACGTTAACGATTACCGGTCCACTGTGTTCTGAACGGAAAATTTTAAATTTTGAAATCGTAATCTAATGATTTATGTATGACTGATTTTCTCATGAACGACCATTCCTAATAATTTCGTTCGTTCTTATAATTAGTATCAAAGCCTTAATTTTCTCTCTTTTTCTGACTATCTTTTCCTTAAATTCGAATTAGAGCATGTCATTAATGAAGATGAGATAAAGTGATATCTGTTCACATGTTATCATGATTCTGCACTCTGACGTGATGATAATTCGGTTGTGATAAATGATACGTAATAAGATTTGAATATCGCAAATTCTTTCTGTGACTTTCTTATCAGTTGTTAAAGGCGAAAGGACTTCTTTTATGCAAAAAAAATCATCATCAGATGAGAATTTGTAAAGAAAGTTTACAACCTGTAGCGTTTGTTGGTGGTGGACGTACTCGGTGGTCATAATTCTCGAGTAGTTGTTGCAGTATAAGTTGTTCTTGAGTACCGCCCGAAATCGCTTCAGACGAATGTTTTGAGAGTGATGGCGAAGATGCTGGTGATAATAGGGTAGATGTCATATAAACACGTTGTTCAGTATGCATTTGTGTGTTTAATGCGGATAGATTTTGTGCTTCGTGCAGTATTACAGTTAATGTCGATAATAACGATTTGATAAACATTCTCTGCAAAATCTTAAAATATGTTTATTTCAAACACAAAACCAAACTGTGTTTGTCTCTAGCAACAAAGCAAATCCATCCACTTATATTTATCATCAAAACTTTGAAAATGAAATAATTTCCAGATTTTATGAAAGGACTCATATTCACGATTTTCTCAACTGCTCAAAGGAAAACTATATTTGGTCTTTTTTTGGTACTTCACCTTCCACCCTCATCTCTCACATTCACTTCTCGTTTCTTTTGACTGTTCAGTTGAATTTAGAACAGTATTTGTGGATTCGTGAATCTGCGCGTGTATTGAGATGCACTGTAGCAACAAGCAAGCACACTAGGTCAACGTTTCGCTTTTATCACTTAATTTTATTCGCAAGCAGCTCCTTGAGAAATTCACTCGCTAGTTAATATGATCTTATTTTTTAATGCCATCGCACAAACATTTCATCCAAAGCCTTCTGTTGTTACAGTCGTTTCATCTAATGAGAATCATTCAAAAAATAACATCGTTTTATAAATTAGGACAAATAATTTGACATTCAAATTCAGTTCGCTGCAAATTCAAACGATAATTGAAAAGTTATCAAGGAAATGAACCCAGATAATAGATATTAATAATAGTTAAATGAACCCAGATAATAGTTATTAATAAGTGTCTATCTATGTACGAAAATATTTCAAAGTAGAAAGTCGATCAAAGAAAGGCTGTAATTGCTTTTTTCTGTCAAAAAACTAGTGTGCTCGACTAATTGTTATGTTTTAATGATCATTATGTTCTTATTTATTATTTTAATAATGTTTACAAATTTCTGTCTCAAATGAACACGGCAAAATCGGTGACTTTATTCCAATACGAATGAAAAAAAGAAAAATCGGCTGATGAGTGAATGAATAATGTGAAGTGATATGAGAACAAATAGGAAGTGCGCACAAAAATTTCATCTAAAATAAGCGCAGTTTTGTCAATTGTAAAATGAACGATGATGGTCAAAAGAATAGTAGGCAAAGCGGGTGAGGAGTGATGCATGAATAAAATGTTTAGTAACGTTATTACTGTGTGAGCATATGAGCCAAACCACTGCTAACTAACTAACATGATTGTATTAGGTTGGTGCAAAATCATTTTTCATTTTATATTCATTCCAGAGTATAGAAACGAAGTAATATGTTGTCTATGATAGCTCAGGGTCACATAATAATGATCACCGGCTCAAGTTTTTGTTTTTCGGTTGCTTGGTAAATGTTCGATTCAACGCTTCATAAGTGACGACTGCAGACACCATTCGCGCTTGGACATTAGCAATAAAGTCATCCAAATTATTATTGACTTTTCCATCGAGCAATTTTTCAATATGTGGTAGTTAGTTGGATGCAAGGACATATCAATTGTTCAATGAAATTGACTGAGAGGAATGAACTGAACAAGTTCGTCGCTGATGTCCAGGTGCACATGCAGTTTGTGATCTTTGCTTGCAATTCATCAATAAACACATGTTCAAAAGGAGGATATTAATTTCGTACCAATATCATAATGTTTCTCTAATATCATAACGACAACATAAATATAACAACAATGACGTTGACGTAAACGTAATAAAAAAGCGATCAAATCACTAGCAATCGTTCACCGATCATCGAATGCTATCATAATTGAAAGTTTATGGAGAGCTGTACTGATGAATGAATCAAATTTAGTTAAAGCAGTAAAAGTGTTAGGATCGCTGACACTCATACAATTTGAGGCAAGTAGTATGAGAATAAGTTGATATGATGAGGAGCCAGGTGGGTCTAGATATAATATTTCATCGGGAGAATAAAGTTCGTTCATTCATTCACTCGTTTGTTTATTTTATTGTAATAAAATAATACTTATGTGCAAATAAAAATCTAATTTTGTTTCGAATGTGATCGAATTATTAAATTCATTATGTGGTGTCCGTCCAGGATGAGGCTAGTTAGTATACAGCTATTGCCATCACACTAGCCATGGCTTTTAGCGTGGCATAGCTGTTAGTTTCTTTTGTCGCCTCACCGCAACCATCAGCATCGTCATCATATTGCTTACTCATTCATTCTAACTAAATAAGCACTCAAGTAAGCAGTATGCGCGTACATTTAAGAAGTAAGTCATTCATTCGCTTGGCAATCATCATTCTTCATTAGAAGAAGATGATCAAATTTTAATCAAAAAGGTGGTAACAGTAATATTATCAATTAGCATGATGGTGCTGAAGAAGTAAACGGGAATAAAATGGAGGCATGTTTTTTAGATTGTGTGTTGGTTTGTTCATTTCGGGAGAAAAGTTAATTGATTGCGTGATAGATGGATGGATGGATGGCTGAATGGATGAATAGATAGAGTGTATGAGGGAAATAGCCAAAGCATAGCTATAGCTGTAGCTAATTAAAATTCATGTTATTTCGAACACATTATACATAATACCTAATAAATTGCCTTTAGCAATAAATAAATAAACGAATGAATAGATGAATGAACCAAGCATAAATAAACGATGACGAGTCAATCAATCAATGTGTACTAATGAAAGCCGTCTTTAATCTCATCTTTTATTCCGTCTTTATCATCCGAGTAAATTCAATTTCAACTATTATTATTAGTGTGAATTTCGGTACGAAACTAAATCTGCATTTGATTTTATATAGTCGAAATAAACGAAAGGAACACTCGTCGATAATACGTCGTTCGCATTTTTCAATTGAATACGAAATGTGTATCTGATAAGTTCTAACAATTGTTATCTATCGATCTACTACACTTCAAACAATCTATTTTTAAAAGGTGAACAATCTACAATTCCATATTAATCGAGATGATACAATTTCGGATTAAAAAAGGTGAACAAAAAACGTGATTCAATAATTACATACGCATATAAATAGTTCGTCACTTGAAAAGTATCGTTGTCAGTTGACAGCAAAGCAACTTGATTTTGCGTCCCAAATCAAAATTAGTCCAAAAGCTAGGTTATAATAAAGTAGTTGGACCTTTAAGTGGAAATCAGTACGATGGTATTATTGTTACCAATATATCTCCGCATCGAACTACAGCCATACGATGTAATTACTTGTCAGGATTGCCTCAATTAAACATTGGTTTCGTTATTCCTATGAGTAGAGCAATATTACTGTTGTACATACGTTCCAGTGGACGACACTTCAATTATGAATGAATGAATACATATATAATGTATGTTTATGGTGAAAATCATAGTTAGCAACCGTGAGGAGGCTTAGATTGAATGGAATTTCGGTGAACAAGGCATGATTGCAAAACTGCATGGTTAGAGACATTCTTCTTCGTTCATATCACATCAGATTATTCATGTGTCAACTTTGGTTTTTTATTATACATCATGTATATAATATGCTGTATGAAATTCATTTTGCAGGAACGAAAACTAGCTTTTTCACTGTTATGTTTTGCTTGTTATGTCTTATTCATTTGATATTTGCTTTTTAAGGTTCCTATTACTTACTTCTAATCCAACCGAAGTTGATGTTTGAAATGTGGAGGTAGTATATTGAATAAATTAATGATTACCGAAAATTTTGTTGCGGGGGCAATGAAAATCGAGTCTAATTTAGTTGAAACTGATTGGAATAAAGTTGAAGATGAGGAAACTACATGTTATGTTAAAACCGCATTAATGATGTTATTATCTAAGAATAATAATCACAATTATTATCTTA